TACAGCGAGAATAAAAGTTACGCCTTCTTTCTTTGCGTGAACATTTGGGCGGCGTTATGCAAATCTTCCCACATAGTGAAGTAGACATGTGGGGGCGTGTTAGAACGAGCCATTTTAGGTAGGCGTGGTTGACTCAACTTTTATAAAGAATATCTCTTGGGATTTGAGACTTTAGTCTTTGCAACTTTACAGATCTTCTTTATGCACCAAGAGCTTGTAACACTCCAAAGAGAAAGGAAAAATTGAAATCGCATCATATGACCCCTTTAAACCGTGATTTTTTATTTGTAGTAAAACCATGGTTAATTTTCATACTGGAACTTTGTGATCGCAGTGCAGCAAATGATGAATGGAAAATGACCACTCGCAGTTCAGTGCCCAAACAGATGCTAGAAAGAAGACCAGTTTATATGTAGACATTACAATGGCATTGTCAATGCTGGTAATATTTTGAATGGCAAACATTCTAACAACATAAATAAAATAAAAATTAAATGAACAGAAACTGCCTATTTAGACTTATTTTATCTGAAAAACTGAGCTTAAACGAAGTCTGTAATATGCTTGCTAAGGTGTTCTGAGTGTTTTTTACCATACTGCTAGCACATTTTAGCATGTTAGCTAGGGAGTTTTAGAGTAGCTTCAGAGGAGTTTTTTTTTTTTGCCTTTATTATGATAGGAATGTGTAGAGGAGACAGGAAGCGAAGTGGGAAAGAGAGAGGGGGGTGCCGGGATTCAAGCCGGAATTCGAACTCGGGATGCCCGTAATGCAATGGTGTAACATGTCGGCACACTGCCCACTCGGCGCCAACAAAATATACATTTCTTTAAAGAAAAAATAAATTAATGGTAGTGTATTATTCCACGTTTTATATTTATATTTTTTGTAGTTTGCATGTTGCTAATCTAACAATGTGATACTTCTAGAATCAATTTTTTGTTTAAATACAAGTATCACGTAAGAGTTTGTTTCTAGCATGTTGCTAAGCTAACAATGTGATACTTCTAGCATAAAACGCATAAAATACAAGTATGGTGTAAGATTTTGTTGTTAGCATGTTGCTAAGCTAACAATGTGATACTTCTAACATAAAACAAGCATAAAAAACAAGTATTGTGTAAGCTTTTATTGTTAGCATGTTGCTAAGCTAACAATGTCATACATCTAGCATAAAACCAGCGTGAAAATTCAAGTGTCCCACAAGAGTTTGTTGTTAGCATGTTGCATTTTTAAAGTAATACGAGATTGAACTACACAAGTTTTTAAAACAGTCTAAATTATATGTAGAGCTAATTTGATTATACTTAAAAATAACGTAGCAAGTGATCATTTTTAAGATGAATTAGGTGGAAGATTTATAGCATTTTACAGCCATAGAGTTGAATACTTCAGCATTAGCTTACTTGCTGACCCAAAGTACACTTAATAATGTAAAGTTGTACATTTACAACTGTAAATGTACAGTTGTATTGATGCATTTTGAAACTCTTTTTGTCTCACACCAGTGATTTTGATGGAAGCAGCGGCTCGAAGCTAATTATCAAACTCTCACCCCCTAAAGTGAAGCTTTCCCTAGAGTGCTACAGATTGCTGGCATTTATTTTGAATGTCACAGAGTGAGCATGTAGGTGGAGAGACACCGTCAGTATGAACACACGTGGGAGGAGACTGCGATTATAGCAGTTCCATTTTGACAATATTAGCTACTTCTTCATCTGCACTCTATTATCACAATTACATATCTTATTTCCTCCAGGACCCGATGGCTTCGAGAACGAGAGCTCCTGAATTCCTCAGTGAAGAGTTTCAAACATGTTGTTGGAGAATGTTAAACGCTATTGTTGGGCCGCAGAGCTTCAGCGATGACTTCCACTCACAGTCACGGCTTATTGTTTTCAAACGCAGACCAGGGAGAGGATGCATTTTTAATTTGGTTGTGGGAGTCGTGAATGAGCGTGTTAAATATTTAAGCAGTTGGACGCGGTCTGGAGGCCGGGAGCGGAGAATTGGCTGGTGCCTGTTGTCATGGCTCCCAGACACACTCTCGAGAATGACGACCCTAACGAGTTAGTCTGACCCCAGATAGCCTGCAGTGCAGGATGGTCATGTTGGCTTTCAATACAGCGCCGGTCCACTCATGGCTCCTCTTTAATTAAGGTCTCATTGGGGTTTTTAAATGTGACTGATTGTAGAGAGCTATAGAAGTGCTGGGGGTTGTAAAATGCCATTAATAGCATCATACTCATTTAAAACAAAGCAGCGAGAGGTTTGAGTGGGACTTGAGCAAAGGTCGCAACCTTTTTGGTCTTGTCCAAATACAAGGAATGTCCTCATGCAGGGAGATCTCAGATCCATTTTGCATCTCTGTGACCCTACAGAGAACAACAGGTTTGGAGAATGGAATAGTACACTACTGTTCATAAGTTGTTTTGTTTTTTTTCCTTAATGTATATTGCAATGATGCACTAAATTGATCAAATGACAGTAAAGACATTTACATTGATAAATAAATAAATAAATATTCATGAAAGAATCTTGAAAATATATCATGGTTTCCACACAAATATTAAGCAGCACAGCATATTAGAATGACTTATGAAGAATCATGTGACACTAAAGACTGGAGTAAAAAAAAAAACAGCATTGCAACACAGGTATAATAAGGAATAAATTACATTTTGCAATATATTAAAGGGATAGTTCACCCCAAAATTAAAATTTGATGTTTATCTGCTTACCCCCAGGGCATCCAAGATGTAGGTGACTTTGTTTCTTCAGTAGAACACATATGATGATTTTTAACTTTAACCGTTGCAGTCTGTCAGTCATATAATGGAAGTGAATGGGAATCACGGCTTTGACAGTCAAAAAAACATACACAAACTAAACCAAATTAAAGCCTGCGGCTTGTGATACATTGATGTGTAAAGACACGAAACGATCGGTCTGTGCAAGAAACTGAACAGTATTTGTATAGTTTTTTACCTCTGATTCACCGCAATGTCCGAACTGTCCTGAGCGCATGACGTGTCTTCTGCTTTTGATTCTATTGACACTCCTAATTGAGATTGTAGATAGAGTGTCAATGGTCCATTTGAGAGATAGGTGGTGGTAATGCACTTATAAGTCTGCGATCCGCCTTAAAGCAAGAAGAAGAAGACGCGTACGCACTCAGAACGCGCTCAGGTCAGTTTGGATATTGTATCGTCACGAGCCGCAGGGTTTAATTTGGTTTTGTTTGTGTATGTTTTTTTGACTCTCAAAGCCATGATTCCCATTCACTTCCATTATAAGACTGACAGACTGCAGCAGATCAACATCAAATTTTCATTTTTGGGTGAACTATCCCTTTAATATAGAAAACAGTTATTTTAAATTGTAATAATATTTCACAATATTACTGTTTTAATTTTACTTTTAATCAAATAAATGCAGCTTTGTTTAGTTTTTGTTGTTGTTAAATAATAAAAAATCTTGCTAACTCAGACCAGTTTTTTTTTTTTTATATATATATTAACTGCTCTTATTTATTTATTTATGTTTGAGTATTGTTGATTCATATTATATTATTAGTAGTTTTAATATTATATTATATTATAATATATTATTTTTAATACATTAAATATATAAATGACTTTGTATTTTAGGAAGGGTGTCCTTTGGATCATCATATTTAGATGTCTATGACGTCTTTGGGTTATGATAGCTAACTAAAATTAAAACCATAAAAAAAAGTATTTACAGATTTTTTTTCCCCATTTATTTGCAAGGCAGCATTTCTCAATTTCATTTAGTTGAATGTATTAAAATAACGAAACGTTAAAACTGAAATAAAAATGAAAAACTTGTCATATTTTCAAAAACAACATTTTTTTCCACACAGACTAAGGCACTACTCGCTGCTTCTACTGACAACATCAAGGACGCAATAATCTCACTGATGTACTAGCTCAACTATACAAGCCTTTTCAGCTCCGCTCATCTCCCACAATGCCTTGCATCATCGTCAGGTGTGTGACTAGCACTCATCAAGGTTGAAGGCCACGTTACCAATTTCTCTCTTTTTAGACGTACAGCTCGCTGGCTTTTTTGTGCTCTCCACTTTCAAGTTTCCTGTGAACTTCACATCAAACGGCTGAAGCCCTGTGCACCGGCTTTGAAGTGCTGGGGAGAGCTGAGCTCTGCCATCCCCTTGTGCTGGCGCTGGTAAAAAGCTGCCATGCTAAAAAAGTCAAAGACTGCAGGGAACGGACAGTGAACTCCAGCCTCTCCGCCCTCCCTGAGCACCGAATGGAGTCTTTGAAACGTATTCCACTCTTGATAATGATGTTTCAGCGCTGCTGTCAGCCACAACTGGAGGTGTGAGCATGTGTTGGGATTTGGACCTTTCAAGGTTTCGTGTTGCCAGAATCACTCATAAACTATAAAAGAGAGACTAGGCAGTGTGAATGAATACTCATAAGAGAGGGTATTCAAATATAAAAGCTGCGGTCACACTAGAATTTGAGCACTCAAAAAAAATTGATGACATCACGCTCTGTATTCAAATCATAATTTCAAGATACGATGAATAATAATGAATCCAAATGTAAAAACACAATCTACAGTTTCCTGAAACGTTACAAGCCTGTGGTTTGAAGTTTGTGCTCTTTGAATTCAGCTAGATAGTGTTAATTTAGGATAATTGATTATAATTGCTGTTAATATGCAGAATTAGATTTTGTTTTTCTATTTTCTGTCACTTTCATTTTAATCAATATTTTAGTCATTTTGTTGTGTGCTTTTGTCAATTTTATTAGTTTAAAAAAAATGCCTATATAGTCTTTTTTAAACTTTTTATGTATTAATCTTACTTTATTTAATTTGTATTTATTTTAGTAATTCAACTCAAACTAATGAAAATGAAAAATGTTGCCTTGGCAACTAGCTGAAATAAAATAAGTTATTTTTATATTTTATTTCAACTAACATTTATTTTATTTTGATGAATTATAACAAAAAAGCGAAACATTTTATTATAATGAAAATTATATATTTTTTAAAATAATTTTAGCGTGATTATTATCATTAAAGGGATCGTTCACATCATTTACTCACCCTCACGTTGTTTCAAACCTGTATGGGTTTCTTTCTTCTGTTCAACACAAAAGAAGATATTTTGAAGAATGTCGGTACCCAGTCAGTTGCTGGTAGCCATTGACTTCATTCTTCAAAATATCTTCTTTTGTGTTCAACAGAAGAAAGAACAGTCTTGAAACAACATGAGGGTGAATAAATTACAAAATTAAAATTTTTGGTTGAACTGTCCCTTTAATGATAATTACCATGCTAAGAGGTCACACTATGATGTATCAATTCGCAGGTCAGAGTTCACCAAACCTGAAGCAGCGAAACATTTTCGCATGAGCTCCCGTTTCCAGTCCCCAGTGTTTGCAAGCATATGAATGGAATTCAATGGAACAAAAAGTGTAATGACCGCTCCTGTGTGACAAAAAGTTACAATGCTGATCAAACCAAAACGTGACATATCTGTATGTTTGAGCTTTATAAAGCCTAATAAAATTGATTAACTATAAAAAGCCCTAAAATGTGCTTAGTAAGGGAAGAGGACGGACTAATTTGAATTTGTAACTCATAGTGTTGTTGCGTTAATTTTGTAGCTTAGCAAGGCTTTGAATGTCTGGTACTATGGCGGAACCCAAAATCGCATAGGCCTACTATATTTAACTATAGTAACCATGCTTTTTTGGTTTTATTTGTAGTTAAACCATGGTTAATTTTCGTAAGGGTGTGAGCGTACGTTTTACTTACTTTTACGATGTAAGCTAGTACTCCGAAAGTATGTAGATCAACCTTTGGTACCTTGGTTATGTGGTTTACGGTTTATTAGCGTAAGAGAAAAATAACTGTGTACGTTTCTCCCAGTGTTCATTTTTATGTTACATGACAAGTCGTGTTTACAAGGCACGGGCGCAGGCTGATGACGTCATAGCTCGGGGGCACGTTGCAGACGTGACAGGCGAGCGCGCGGCGGGCGCTAGGACCCGGCAACGCCGGAGTGTTTCATCTCCTCATCCATTACATTCCCCTCATTTATTCAGTAGATCCAGAGAGCGCAGCACAGCACAATAACTCTCACACACTTTCAATTCCAACCATATTCACTGCACGGTAGCAAAATGGTGAGGACTGAGAGGCAAAGAACAGAGGTGAAGGCTGAAGACTTGTTTCTGGAGTCCGAAACATCTTTGGATCAGCAAGATTTTGAGATGTCTACTTGTCCTTTCAATGACGTCTTCAACTCCAGAGACTCTTCCATGATAAACACTTTCCTGAAAAATGTGCAAGTTTTATTGGAGGCTGCGCGTTATATTGAGAGCGCCGAGAGGAAGGATGGAAGTAAGTGAAATTATAGTGCACTTATGAGGGATTTCGACTCATTTGCGTAATGCAGACAAACTGTTTCATTGTCAATAGACTCAGACAACAAAGGACTGAGTTCAACGAACAATCAGCCAAGTAGACGAGGAACATGTGCAGTGTGCCCCGATATGCGATGCACAGACACAATGCTTTTAAAGGACCAAGTTTCCAAAATGTAAAAGGAGACCTTTTTATATTTTAGCATTTTTATAACACACATAATGCATACACTTTACTTGTTTCAGGGCTATTTGCAATTGCACATAGACGTATAACGCCAAATCTCACATATCTGTATTTTATTGCATGTGTCAGAGACACAAAAACAGGTGAATAATTCCCTCTGCAGCGCACTTAATGTCCCAAATCGCAGGCTGGCTGTCCCAAGCTGGCATGCACTGTCATACGGGGCAGTTCAGAGTCTGGCATTGTTCGGCAGAGAGACATGCCAGGCAGTTTGCCATCTCTTTCTCTCGAGGAACATAAACAAGTATATAAATAAATAATAAAGGCACAATACACACGCTGACGTCACCTCTTACTGTGGTAGACTGTAATGTGCACCTTTAACTCTCCATTACGCACCTAGTATAAGAGTGTATGTATGCTGATTAAACGTTTATCGTATAAATAAAGGCATTTGATCACATGAAGTTGTTTTTGTTTGAGCATTACATTGTGCTTTGTCTAGATAGGCAATTGTAGGAAAATATATTTGGCGCCTATGCTTTTTATCCATGATAATGTTTAAGGCTGATTGCGTCTGTTATGCAACTATTATAAAGAGAGATTAATATGAAGCACTTTAGAAACAATAGATTTTGATCACATTTTCACCGTTCGCTCTTATTCGATTTATTTCATTATTATTCATTGCGATTTAAAGCAAGCCCGAGTCACACCGGGTAAATCTGAAATTGTATATGCAGACTGCATATTTCTACTTCAAAAGAGTTCTCCAATTCGCCTTCCTGTTTCCTAGGGGGTGTGTTCACATGACTTCCACATGGCGCACGTTGCGCTGCTCTGATTGGCTAGAGCGCATTGCGTTGGCGGACGCTTACTAGGCCTCTGACCAATCACGGCGCTGCGGTGCTGTGCTGTCACATGTTGCTGGGTCTGGCTTAAACGGCACTGGAAGTGAAGGATTGTGGGAGTTGAAGTGCGCAGTATCAAAACGTGAAAAATGGCAAAAACGGCATTTTTAATCATTAAATGTAACGCAGATTGCATGGATTGTTACATGGCTGCTTCTAAAATTAAATGCTAAAGAATTTAATGACTGAAATATAGATTTGAGATGCAATTGGTATTAGCTCGGAGTGCACAACTATGTAGGAAACCCAGGTTTCAGTTACAGCATCTCCCTGTACAGCGGTTGCTATTAATAATATTAATAAAAAATAACGAATACAACAGTAAGCTGTATATTAATGAATATTTATATTTTTCTTAGTATGTTTTAATCTCATTGGCTTTAAATTTCTAGATATTCTTAAGGTAGACTTTGTCTAATTTGTGTATAAATGTATTTAATATTAAATACTCGCTCATAAACTAACACTAAAGATAGATTTAACCATTCAAGAAAGGTTATTCTTTTAATAATTAATAGCATCATAATAAATCAACGTGTCCTGTTCCGAGTTAAAGGGCCGCGAAGGACTACATTTCCCATAATGCCCCGCGCGGAGGTCTCTATCCTCTCAGCTGTTAAAACAGTAGGTAAACAAACTAGAGGCGGAGAAAACAGCGCAAGCACCAGGGACTTCGCAGGCTGGGCTCTCGGGGACTCTTTTGTACCTGTTTCTATTCATTTTATACACTTTGTATTCGACTGTTTTCCTAAAGCACTTTTACTACTTTGATATTCAGGCGTCGGGTTTTTTTATTTGTGTTTGATTTCCTGTAACTAGCTTGGTAACAGTGTAAGGAAATACCTCGAGTCTCGACGGTTCAGCAAATAGAAACACAAACACAAAAACAGGTGAATCGTCGGAGGATATTCAATGCTACGTTTCGCGGCGCGACAGCTTGTCATCGTGATCCGATATCAGAAGAAAACGACACGCATCTAGATTTATTCAAACGATGACTGCTGTGCTGAATATCCAGATGTTACTGGAAGCAGCCGATTATATAGAAAGGAGAGAAAGAGGTACATGGTATTGATATTTATAACATGCAAACTGTCCTGTCACAGAGGCCAACCTGTGAATTGACTGTGTTTTGAAGTGCACGAGGTATTTAAGGGGACTTGGCCCGTGTCTGGTTAGATGTGACACGTTTCTGCGGTGTCTTTTTCAGAGAGTGAACACGGATATGCCTCGACCTTTCCGTCTGTTCAGCACTCCAGCTGCCAGAGACAAAGGAAACACCGAAATAAAAAGTGCAGCAACAACCACAACAGGTAAGCACATGATCTGGCTCTCCACTTCCACGAGAGGGGGGGAAACTGCTGGAGAAGAGCCAGAGAGAGTCGTGTGCATAGATCACACTGCTATGACATCTGCCACGACCAGTCACTGCTGATAATACTGGCTTGAATCTTTGCTGCTGTAATTTCTAGATAATTTTCTACTCGCCTTTTAGTTTATGGCTTGTTTTCGATATGTTAAATAAAACAATATCAACTTTTAAATGCCTTTTATAAATATAGCAAAGAATAAATAGCATATATATATATAATTTTTTTAAAATTAAATAGACATTTCTGCTTCTAAAAGGTGGTGTATTATTATTTTTTGTTGTTGCTTGATTTGTTTTGGGGGAGGGGAGCTCTCATCAGCTGATTGTCAAACGGGACTGCTGCAGCGTTGAGGTTAGGGACCGTGCAAAACCTCACGTCCTGTTTTCGCCTTTGAGCGCCATTTGGTTTCGTTTTGTTTGAACCGAAAGTCTGCAGTGTCGATATCTTTGGTGTATTTTGACGCGTCTGCGGTAATGTCCGCTATAGAGTCAGTGGGGGGAAAAAAACAAATCAGGTTGAACTATTGGTTTTCACGAGAAGAGTAGCCTACTTTAAATTTGCCCCGGACCCTTGAACGCACTGCTCTTATTTACAGCAACTCTTGTTTTCAGGCTGCCAAGGTGAACAGCCTGAGGCGTCTTTATTAAATTTATTTTCCACGTTATTCTCCTTCTAAAACATGTTTTGGAAAATTGTCACCGGTCTTTTTCTGCTAAATGTCGATTTGATAAAAGAAACTAATCGAAAATGCAATAACAGGCGTTTTAATCCATCTTATTAAAAGGCGCTTTGCTAAATCACGAAAACGGTGCGCGGCTATGATGCCAATAAATGTTATGTTGGTAGACAGCTTACTAGCGTTTGAGATGGCCAATAATATCATCCAGGTAGGCAGCTCACTAGGTTTTGTGATGCCCAGAATTGGCAACTGGGTAGACAGTGCGAAAATTAACAAAATAAAACCAAAAACATGGTTATTATAGTTAAACCATGGTAACCATAGTTTAACCATGGTATTTGTAGTAAAACTGTGGTTATACAAACGCAATCAATCTGCCAAAAGCCATGGTTTACTGCATGTTTACTTTAATAAAAGTAAAGCCATGGTTAATTTTCGTCAGCGTTGGTTTATTCATGTTTAACATGCCATCTAGGTTGGTCACTTTTTTTTGATGCCTAAAATGTCGTCTGTGTAAGTAGTTCACTAGGTTTCGAGATGCCCAGAATTTCTTTCACTGTAGGCAATTTAACAAGTTTTGTGTTGCCCAAAAAAAAAAAAAAAGTTGTCCAGCTACAGATTTTGAGTTGACCAAAAATGCCATCTAGTTACAGATTTTGAGTTGACCAAAAATGCCATCTAGTTACAGGTTTTGAGTTGACCAAAAATGCCATCTAGTTACAGGTTTTGAGTTGACCAAAAATGCCATCTGTCTATGGGTTTCGAGCTGACCGTAATGCTGTTTAGCTACAGGTTTCGAGTTGACAAGAAATGCCATCTAGCTACAGAATTTGAGTTTCTAAAAATGTCATTTAGCTACAGGATTCGAGTTAGGGCTGCACGATATTGGAAAAAACTCACATTGCGATATTTTATTTTTCTGCGATATGAAAACAAAAATCACCACATGACTTGAATAGTTTATTTAGAAAAAAAAAAACTTTTTAGATTTTGTAGGCGAGTAAATCAGCATAGGAAATAAGCAAATTACAAGATAAATATAACAGAACAAAGATACAAATGAAATAAGCAATGCTTTATATTTTTCAGGTAAGTCTAACCGTATTCAGGTACAGAAATTGAATAATCAAATGTAAAATAACACTGCATAGTTTTCACTGTATAAATCTAATAAATCTGTGTAAAAGCTACAAAAGGGATTTTTCTTTGTGTTATGTTGTTTGATTAACATTCATAACACAGAAAGCCTCAGGAACATTAAACTGCTGTAAACCAATATACTGTTACACATCCATTTTCTTTCTCACTTGTTTACCTTCACCTATAGGCCATAAGCAACTGCGTTTACAAGGATACTTGCAGAGCACAGTATTTCAGGCACAAATAGACGCAGAAGTGAACAGAATTCAGTGTTCACGTGCATCTGCGTGGCTCTCACCGTGTCTACACCGGACACGAGCGGCGTGGTGCGACACGACAAAATACAATGAACCCATTATAATCAGTGATGCTGTCAGTCTACACTGGATGCTGCGCGGCACGACAAATCCCAGACAGTAAACTGATGCCGCGTTCTATTTATGACGTACTGACACAAAGTTAAAATGATTGGCAACGGTCGCTTTGTCACGTCCAGTGTAGACAGACTTTGGGGTCGTTCACATGTCGCGCCTAAAAACGCGTAGAAAACGCCAGCCGCGCCGCTTTCTCCTTCTTTCCAAAGCACTCGGGAGCTTGCGCTTTCGCGTAGTTTAAAATGGCTATCTCTGTACAGCTGTCGCGTCCGGTGTAGACACCGTGTCTGTGTGTGAGCAAAGAAAACAATCAGTATAAATATAACGATCAGTAGCCTATACTAAACATTGCACATCCTGCGATGTGACTATCGCGGATGCGCACATCGCGATATCGATGCTGAAACGATATATCATGCAGCCCTATTTCGAGTTGACCAAAAATGCCGTCTAGCTACAGGTTTTGAGTTCACCAAAAATGGCATCTATCAATAGGTTTCGAATTTACAAAAAATGCTGTCTAGGTACAGAGTTTGAGTTTATCAAAATGCCATCTAGCTACAGGTTTTGCACTGACCAGAATGCCATTTAGGTCACAAGAGTTATTTTTTCCTCTTCTCTTAGACGCAATGTGCGTGTGAGTATGTTTAGTGTTGTGTCAGTTCCGTCTGTTTTGTTTCACTGCGTTTCTAAGTAACAGACATCTTGATGACTGATCTCAGGTCTGTGTTACTGTACACAGAGCGAGCACTGATGGAAGAAATGTAAAGAAAACACTATCTGATCATCTGGCATGCCTGTGTGTGTCTCCCGAGAAGAGGTCATTCATGCTGCTTCGGTTGAAATGAAGATGGTGGAAAGATTTTGAGGAAAAAATACTTTTCCACATGTTTAAAAACTATGTGGGGCATCCTCATTTTTGTTTGTTTTGTATGCCTTTGGCAACCCACATTTTTTAGCATTTTTAGCACTTCTACTGCAAATAATAAATACAGAATACGCCAGTGTTACACTAAGAAAAACATCCATAGAAAACGAAAATGTACAGGTAATTTCCTACCAGGACATTAAGTTTACGGACACTTGAACCCTAAATACAACACAATGCAAAATTGTATTTAATTGTGTGTATTGTAATGTATTTCAAAACAACAGGTAAAAAAACCTGTGAAAATCAACACTGTGTGCCATTTTTACGGTCTTTTCCTAGAGTGTATGTCTCTTGACACTACACATCCTATCACACAAAAATAAGAGCTGTGAAAACATGCATACTGTTCATTTTTTTTATGTCTTTTCCTCCCTCGCTCTATTCCTCCTCCCCCTTGAGCTTGCAAGCATCCTCCCGTGCAGAAGCGGCAATACCATAAGGTCAGCTACAGGATGCCTGAAAACACGATCTTGGTATTAATAGTCGGGAAGGGAAAGTGGTCACATGACCCATGGAGAAGTAGGCCCTCGCTGCATCCACGTCTTGCTGCCCCTACAACGGCATTGCCGTGCAACGGTTCAGCCGGCCATTTAGAGCTTTGGAAAAGCTTTCAGCATGTTGCCACACAAAGAGCCTCTTAGGGGGACGGCTGATTCACTTTACATTATTAACATAACACTGACTCGTGCTCTCAGAGAGGGCGAGAGAGAGAGAGCGTCCACTGGCACTCACTCATTGTACGAAGAGGAGAGCTCTCTCACGTGCTCGTATATAGACTGGTCGTTGTGCTCGCTTTCTCTGCTCTGCACACGTCATTTCTCTGTCTTTACGCTGCAAACAAAGAGTTGCAGTGACATGTGGGTCATTTAGAGGAGCCTTTATAATTCCGTCTGGAGCCACTGGATTGGTTGTGGCTGGTTCAACCCCCCAATAAAGATTAATTAGTAAATCCTTTACTGATTAGTAGAACCTTTAATGATGCATAATCTTGTTCTTTATGAGCGGCCAGGCTTTTTTCCTCATACATGTTCTCTGATCTCACGATGAGAGGTGACGTTTAAATCTGGAGATAAGTGCTCAAGAAATGAGCTTATGCTTATGATGGGGGTTATGATAAAAACCTCACAGACTCACAAGTTGATGTTTGCTCATTCATTGCTTCTGTTTTGTTTTATAGGTCCACACACAATGAGCTGGAGAAAAATCGGTAAGTACGATTTTTAAGTTTTTTTTTTTACCTTAATACTGAGAACACTGGCAATGATAGGAAATATCACAAGCCAATATCACTTAAACTTGCCTCAACCTCATGAGCACCACAACTTGAACGTGCGCTAATTGTCATGATTACAAATAGGTAGGGCTGTCGTGATTCGTCGATTTTATTCGACTATTCGTTTTTTTTTTAATCCTAGACTTCATTTTGCTTGCGTCAACTAACCGGCAAAATACCGGAAGTGGCGCATTTCACGGACGAGAATCCATAAAACACATTATTAGACTGTTTCCCAAGTTATAACGTTCATCTGGGAACGCAATGTGCGCCATTTAATCAGATTTGTAAGTTAAATCATTTATAAATCTACGTAAACACAGGAGAATACATCACGGTTTCAAAATAAAAGCTCAAACCCTCACTCTGAGTTTACACGTTTTGATGTCCACATATTCTTTTAA